CTTATAGAGTCAGATGGTGACTACACAATGTATTAATTTTAGTTAGTTGATTATGTATTTTTTAAATAAAAAAAAAAATTTTGGATTTACTTACTTGTAGCCGGAGTTAGAGGCGGTCGGATACTTATGACCGCTACTGTAATTATTACCTTATCCTGTCCGATCATTTTTTTGAAACTATGGCAATGATTTTCGCGATGCATATGACGTATGATCGGCAATTGTGAGACATATAAACGGAAAAACATTAATGACACTCCGTGTAAACTTGGAATTTAAACTTTGACAAAAAATATCAAAGAAACTAAAATGACATTATAAAGGATAACATCAAAAAAATATATATTAAGATGGATCCCGATTCAGAGGAAACCGAAATTGAATCCGCACAAAATGACCTTGGAGATTTGGAAAGCACCTTCCGTTGGTATCATAAAACCGCGGAAAATGAAAATAAAATTGCCCAATATAACCTTGCACTTTTATATGAAAAGGGAGAAGGAACGGATAAGAATTTAGAAAAAGCTTTTTATTGGTATCAAAGAGCAGCCGACAACGGGTATGAATTTGCTCAAAATAATATTGCACTTTCATATGAGAAGGGTGATGGGACGGAAAAGGATTTAGGGAAGGCATTCTATTGGTATCAACGAGCGGCCGAAAATGGTTATGAATTTGCTCAAAACAATCTTGGTTGTCTATACGAAAAGGGTGAAGGAACGGAAAAGGATTTTAAAAAAGCCTTTTATTGGTATCAAAGAGCGGCCGAAAATGGTTATGAATATGCACAAAATAATCTTGGATGTTTATACAAAAATGGGGAAGGAATAGAGAAGAATTATGAAATGGCCTTTTATTGGTATCATAGAGCAGCGGAATGTGAGAATGATTTCGCACAATATAACCTTGCACTATTGTATGAAAAGGGTGATGGAACGAAAAGAGATCTGGAAAAAGCATTTTATTGGTATCAAAAGGCTGCTAAAAACGAAAATCATTTCGCACAAAACAATCTTGGTTATTTATATAAAAAGGGTGAGGGAACGGAAAAAGATTTGGAAAAGGCTTTTTACTGGTTTCAAAAAGCAGCAGGAAAAGGTTATAATGCAGCGCAATGTAACCTTGCCTTTTCGTATGAAAAAGGTGAAGGAACGAAACAAAATTTAGAAAAGGCCTTTTATTGGTTTCATATGGCAGCAGAAAACGGTTACGAATATGCACAAAATGCACTTGGTTGCTTGTATGAGAAAGGTGAAGGAACGGAAAGAAATATTGAAAAAGCATTTTACTGGTATCAAAAAGCAGCCGAAAATGGGTATGAAATCGCACAATATAATCTTGGTTATTTATATGAAAATGGTGAAGAAACGAAAAAGAACTTAAAACAAACACTTTATTGGTATCAAAAAGCAGCTGAAAATGGATGTGAAATCGCGCAGAATACACTTGGTTGTCTATACGACAAAGGTAAAGGAATAGAAAAAGATTTGGAAAAGGCTTTTTACTGGTATCAGAGAGCCGCAGAAAATGGATATGAAGTTGCACAGTATAACTTGGGTGAATGTTATGAATTAGGAAATGGGGTGCAAAAAGATGAATTTAAAGCATTTGATTATTTTCAGAAATCTGCTCAACAAGGATATTTTGGTGCGGTATTTCAACTTGGATATTGCTACGTAAATGGAATTGGGGTGGAGGCTGATAAAGAAAAAGGTCTTGATTTATATAATAAGGCTGCTGGAAATAATGATAATGAACATGATATACTATTATTTGATAGTGATGATAACATATTTAGTGATTTGGATAAAGTTAACTATTGGTATCATAAAGCCGCGGACAATGACAACAATAAAGTTGCATTATATAAGTTAGGCGAACTTTATGAAATAGGGAAAGGTGTCGGTGAAAATTTGACTAGAGCATTCGAATTTTTTAAGAATTCGGCTAATCAAGGATATTCAGAGGCCCAATGCAAGGTTGGATATTACTACGAACGTGGAATTGTAGTTAAAGCCAATAAAGAGAAGGCATTGGAATTATACAGAATAGCTGCCAAGGAAGGAAATAATATTGCTCAGAAAAATCTAGCACGTTTATATGAGCAAAGTGAATAAGTTATAGAAAATAATATAATGAATGTTATTTATTGTACAAGAAAGTGATTAAGGAAAATCTGAATGACCTATTAAAGATGCAAATAACTTAAAATCAGGAATAAAGTTATTTCAATTTTTTTAACTTATTTTATAACGACTTTATTAAATGATGTGTTTTCAAGCAAATACGACTGCTATTTGTTAGCAAATATTTTCCAAGACAATGAATTTCCCCGATCATAAATTAGGTTCTTTAGTTTCAATTTCGTTAATACTTCAAAAGCCGCGGATAAAATTAAACAAAATTAATAATTAAAAAAAAAAATAAATAAATCGCTCATTGAACTTTATTATAAATTTAGGTTCAATAAATTTTAATTCCGACCAGAATTTATTTCGAATATCAAACAACAACAAATTATATAACATATAGTAATTTCGAAATGAAGACATATGTGTGTGATGATATGCGTGTGATTATTAGTGTTTATATTTCAAATAAAAAAAAAAAAAATATTATAAAGAAAAAATTATAATATTCCCTAACGTACGATAATAAAAAATATGCAAAGTTTAATAATAATAAAAAACAAGTTTATATTGCATTATACAATTATATTTGCCGAATTAAAATAGTAATATATTTGGATACAATAATATAGGGGAAAAAAAATAAATAATCGATCGATAAGATGATTGATTTTGATATTCGAAATCCGATATCCGAATCATATCGATATTCGAATATTTGAAACCCTACAATAATAGCATTAAAAATTAGAATATGATGATAACGAATAACAATTTCTTTATTATTTAATTTGTTCAATCTAATTTTTAAAATAGTAAAAAAAATTCTCTCATTACTTACTAATATGGAAAACAAAATATATGAAACGACTTCACTACATGATCTGCATCACGGAATATTTTACATGCACTATAGTGTAAATACTGATTAAACTTGTATCAGATGAATGCGATCATTATCACTACAAAAGGAGGTGGATTTTCTTATATTATAATCCGATTTGGTTAAATCGAGATATAAATCAAATTTTAAAAACTACAAGTTTATATAGGAAAATATTTTTTTTTATTTTTCGCAGGCTGCTATAATGTTCGGAAGAATGAATATCCACAAAATTTTTTTTTGATCGGGACATGATGCTGAAGAATATTAATTATTACATAAATCATGATCAGATGTTATTAATCCAATTTCTTCTATAAATTATTCTATTTCATGGAGAATAAGCGTGTAATTATACTGTAGCACTAACATATTCCTGTGAACGACGACATCTTGGATGGAAATTTCACTTCGCGGGAGGTTTATGAGCACACTGGTTGCCATTCTAAGTAATTCTTGTTCAGAATTCTGGACAACAAATCCTACGCATAAATTATCATTCACATTTCGTAAATGTTTGGAATGAAACCTCTTAGAACCTTTCAAAATGCTGATGCACTCGTTGATTTCCTCCTGTGCAGCCACTCTTGGCCAGAATTTTTTTGTCTTTTTTTTAATTAGACGGATAATTTCTTTAAAGGTAGTATATCATGATTAAAGTATTCCAAAATGGTAAAAAATAAAAAATAAATAAAATAATTTAAAAAAAAAATAAATGTTCGCGAATTATAGATTGAAAATAAATTACAAAAAATTAAAATAAAAGTAAAATTTTATTGAATAATTGCTTTATTAAATGAATTCAAATTACAGATCTCAACAAATGACATAAAGAAAAATAAAAAAAAAAATCTATATCTAAATTGCATTTCATTTTTTTGATCTAGTTTTTACAATCAAAACCAGGAATTCTCATAATTAAATCACTATACCTTTTTGGTTGAACATCAAGAACCAACTCCTCCAAATTAAGATAATCCGGGTCTTCAACCTTAACATAATTTTCAATTTCATAAGCAAATTCTTTTATCTTTGCCTCATTCACAAATTCCTTTATAATGCTAAACGTCTCATCAATGCTTTCATAATGTCTATTCCTGACCAACAATTTGTTTAAACCAACAATATGCTTACAACTATCAAAGAAAGTTTTTAGATCCATTGGAACGATTACAAGGTCCAAATTTAAGTATTCTAATGAACTTGGTAACGCTGTACCCAATCCTGTTAAAAGGCTCGAACTAGTTTCTGAACAATCATCATCCACACCAAACAGGACCTCAAAGGAGAGATATTTAAGATATTTGTTGATATGAGTGATTAATTTACACATTTTGGGGATATTCATATTATTAGTGTAGGCTACGTGAAGGAATTTAATCTTACGACAGTAAGTTATGATATTTTTGAATGCTTTATCACATCTCTCAATGTCCCCAAATCCTAATTCTACCGATAAATCTTCTACGTGAGGACCAATTTTTTGTAATAAAAAAGAATATTCAGAGATTTTCCCACCCAACTGTAAAGATTTAACTTTTAATGAAGCGGGATTATCAAGTAGAGGTTGAAATGCTTGATTATCTAATCCCCCACAATTATCGAAACAGAGAGATTGAAGTTTTGTGAAATATTGAAGTACATCAAATGATGGTACATTTTCAAAATTACAATTCACAAACTTCATAGTAGTCAAAGTGTTAACGCAGTATTTGAAGGAATCTAATAGACAAGAATTTATCGGTATACAGTAATATGCAAGCGACGAAATTTGTTTCTGTGTCGTGATGATATCCGTAAGACTCCCTTCATATCTTTCAATGAAAAAGGAAATTTTAAAATGTTTAATGGAACAAGTTAATGACGATAAGGAAGCTAAGAAATACTGAAAATTAAATCTAGGATGTTTGAAAAAGCAAAAGATAAGCGTCTCAAGATTTGAAATGAATTTCGAATTACGTAAGATCATTTCACATATTTCAGATAAAAAGAAACCACAAAAACTGCTGGATTTCATAATCAATTCTCTTATGGAGGCATTATTATTGATAAATATTTTAAATAGTGAAGTGCAAGTAAATTTCACAGCTTTTCCTGCATCAAGCAAATTCACTTTGATCTTCAAGCTCGTATTTTCTGAATGAATTTTTGAATGAAAGATCGTACTAGGTTGTTTCATGCACAATGGATCATGGTATGGATATGGGTGAGCCTTGGTGGGACTGGGGATAGGTATGTCAAGGTTATTTATCCAATTAACCAAGTGCATTTCTGCTCGAAATGTATCCAACGTTTTAATAAAACGGGGATAATTGAATAAAGGTTTCTTAACTGAGGGATTGATTGTAATTCCATATTTTTTAAATTTTAATCTGTCATCATTATTTAGAAATAAAAAGTAAGTATCAAGAAAACTGCAAGGATTTTCTTCTCGACGTCTGATAGAAAAAGGATTTTCCCAAAGCATGGGAATTGCAATCTGACATAAAAGTCGATTGACTAGAGCGCATGAATATAATGATTTGAGATCATATTGCAATAATTGTATAATATAATATGATATTTCTGGTAAACTACCAAATAATTTCGAACGTGTCATGTTTAAAAAAAGGAGGGAATGGGGAATCAAAAATGTGTTGCTTCTCAACTATTTATTATCGTATGATGATGTTGATCACTTGTCATTTTGGGACAAAAGATAGCGATAGTCATTGAGGCGGCTCAGTGTTTCATGATCGTCGTCGTTGTCTTAGTAAATATAGGGGATTGTTTCTTTATTTGGGGATTCCTTTTATTTGATGTGCTTTTCCTGAGATGAAAGTTCTTTCAGAAAAAGTGCTTTTCCTAGTTATTAATCGTTTTAAAATCTTTCAACGGAGTATCGGGGGTAAATTAGTAAATCATCGGGAACAAAGGTCGACCTATACCATAAAAAATCAAATAAAATCGTTGTTGAAAGTCGAAACTCTTTTATCAAAAATCCATCAAAAGTCGAAATCGAAGCGTACGGTTTCGATTTACGCTATTTGCTAAAATGAAGTTTGAAATGCTGATATCATTCGTATGAATTAGAGAGCTGCAAAAGGCCGGGTCCGGTGCGAAACCCGGCCCGGATTTTTTAATTTAATTAAATTTAGCCACTGATTGGTAACATTGTTGCCGATCATTTTAATTTTGTCGCGCGTTACACTATTTGGAATATTTTATTATTATTTTTAATTATTTTATAAAACAAAAAGTCATCTTTAAATCTAAAAAAGGAAAATTAAATGTCAAGAATAATGAAATCGTTGAAAAATAGATAGTATTATAGATTTATGTACATAGTGCACTATTTTGGTATTTAATAAAAATAATATTTCGTATCTCAAAATGGTATAAATTAATTATACTGTTTCGGTTCGAGTTGTCGTATGGGCTTCAAAATTTGGACGTATGAGCATATTATATTAGTGTTAAATGTTGTAAAAAATGTAATACAAATTTAAACTTTATGCCGATCATCTGCAACGAACTCTGAAATTTTACTATATATTCATTAACTATTTAGGAATGAATGGTAAAAATGAAACTAGCTAAATTCGCTTGAAACTTATATACTACAAATAAATAAACAAAAAAAATAAGTTTTAATAATTAAAAAAAAAAAAAAATAATTTATAATATTATAAAATATAATCAAACAATGAATAATACATCTAGCTCTTCAAAAATTTTGTAACTTCAATTCTCTTTATTGTAAAGGAAGGATATAGTTAATAACGGATAATATCAAAATATAAAGATATACATTCTATTTTTAAATACAAATAGATTGAAATATTATTAATCAATTCCAAAAATTTAAGTTCAATTTATGGGCGTAGTCAATAGAAAAGGTGGATTTCTAAATTTTGATCAGTCACTATATCTTACTAATTAATTTAAAAAATAAGTTGATAACGGTATAAAAATAATATATGTATAAAATATTAGTATGTACGATAACTTTAATATGTGATAAAAATGAATAAATGATCGACAACAAATGATCGCATTATGTGATAAAATCGCTATACTTATGCAGGAGGGCCTCTAACAGTATAAGTTTAAAATACATCCAAAAATCAGTTATGAAGCTAAAGAAATTTTCAACTTAGATAGTGATGCATCCTATTTTATGAGTTTATAATGCTAGTCATGTAAAATTTTAATGTTTTATAAATAACCCATTTAGACGCATATGGAGGTGATTTTAATAGCAAAATATTTTTTTTAAAATATTTGATTGAAGTTTGTCCAAATAGAATGTGTAACATTTGATATTTCTTTCTGTCCTACATTTGATGGTATTATAAAGAAAAATATTTACAATTGTTCGTGGTGGTGACCAACTATTATGAAACGTTTCAAGAATTTTTTTTTGTTATTAAATTACGAAAAATGGGAATGAAGAAATTTCGAATGAAAATTTCACCGATGAATTTCGTTCTCATGATGCATAAGTAAATTAAAATTTTTTTTTTTTTCCTTTGTATTTGTAACAATTGATTTTATTTTTATTTTTATTTTTTTTTTTTTTTATTAGCATTCCTTATTTGTTAAATTTGGGGAACGCTGAAACAAAAATAAATCATTTGTGATTTTTATCATAGTTCATAAATTCGCGTGATTCATTAGCTATTGAGATAACTTTCATTAAATTGGTGTATAATTCAGTGTTATAAAGTGATCACAAGAATTTATAATGAATTAAATAGGTTGCATCAAAAAAAAAAAAAAAATTTGCCGACAAAAATTATCGAAAAAGTATGCGATTTAACAACAAATAATATTCAAAATTTTCGATCAGCATTTAAGTTTTTCTTCCGAACAATTTACGAGTCCATTTATTGAGTTGTTTACTTTAAATTACAAAGTATCACGTGTACACCACAAATAAAGACAGTAAGCCTCAGCGATAGAAATGGTCAAAAAAAGCAGTAGAAAATGAAATTTAGTAAGAAAAATTTACTAATTATTACATATTTATTATCATTTAAAAAAAATCGATCAGGTAAATATGACTAGAACAATCAAAAAAAAAAAAATTAACAAAAAAAATTTTCACTCTATATGAATAGAAAATTACATAATTTGAAAAAAATAAATGATAAAATTTACGACAACTAAATTATTATGGGCAGCTTAATTTGGCCGATTTAGCTTTAACGGGAGGGGGCCTAAATACGACATAATCTTGGCCAGAACGAACCACACTTCCCTTACAGCCAAAATCGTCGAAAAATTCGTACGAAGTACCGGGAGTGCTGGCTTCGCAAGAATGAAAGGGATCAGAAGGATCAGTTCCATAACAGCCGCTACCGCTACCCCCAATTTCATGCACATTTTTACCCTTGCAAGCTAAATATAATAAAGACAACGATTAAATGAAGAGTTTTAAATAAGAACGATCAAATAAAAATTCAAGTGAACTTACAAATTTTGCATTGTTTTGCATAGCTTTCAGAAGCTAAATAAGCAATAAAGAATAGCAAAATTATTTGGACTTTCATCTTGCTTTGTGTATATCTTACAAATGATTTGATATTGTTTGTTATTTTTTTGAGAATGATTTGATTTTTTTTTGGATTTAATTACGGGACGAGGGAGGCAAGCTTTTTATACTTAAATTGAGCTATCTACAGCTTCTTATTGAGTATCGTAATAAGGCTTAGAGGCAAATATTTTATACATAAAATGCGGGTCCAAGAAAATGATTGATAAAAACGGGCTGTAAATGGAGGCTTTCTTCCGAGAATTTTATATAATTAAATAATTTCAACAATAAATTGTGGCTTAGAAAACATATTTTTAATCAATTAAATAATAACTAATTTAGTGGTCTCAAAATTTTCAAGCAACTGACCGTACGGAAATAATAATATCCAACGTGTACTTTTATTTGATGTGCACGTAAAATTACAGCTGTAAATAAAAAAAAATAAAGTATTCCATATCAATAATTAATGTGTTGTAAACGTTCTTGTATTTTTAAAATCATTTTTTGTCATTTCTTATGACTTCGCTTTATGGAAAAATATGTATAAAACGCGATCATAATGTTGACTTCAATTTTCTTCACGTTCCACCGCTCCTTTGAAAAAGATTTATTGGAGTTTTGACGATAACGAATCGACTCCACGGAAATTCACCTGCTAATTCTGCTAATTGCGCCTCGAAGATGCGTAAGTAATTTTGAAAAATTTGAACCTTGCATTCTTACAACTTGTAAGCCGCAGATTTATAATACCAAAGCCATACTGTGGCTGATTCCGAAATAAAACGCTTAACTTGATTACAAACATCGATTTAAATTGTCGTCTAGATATCAGAAACTTGTATTATGATATTTCATGGCGTTGTTGGTGGCGTTTAATTAAACGCAAATTATATATTTAAGCCATTGGTAACGATCGAAAAGCCATTCTGTGGCTGAATCCGAAAAATGATTTTGGACTTTTTTTTTGGTTTAAACTATGTATAGTAAAAGTAACAGCCATTAGCAAAACATTGGAGGCTAAGATTACTTATTAATATTGTTCCGTAAAAGCATACCGCCTCTAAATACTTGATTGCTTTTCTAATTAAAATGTTTTGACGTAATGCCGAATATAAACTCTCTTCATCATTTTTTCATTGTTCGGGACCGGGTTCAAAGGCTTTATGCTTAACATTTCTGCATTTTGTAAAGAATATTTCCACCATAAACATAAGTAATGGATCACATGGAATAGATTTTATCTTAACGATTTTTGTCATTAATGGGTTTTTGGCTTGTTTTTGTATTGCTCAATCGTTAGTTGAAACGTTGGATAAACGGGTAAAAAGTATTAACATGGCTTATCACACACACCTCGTCAATTAATATGAGAACAAGCTTTAGGCTGGAGAAGCGTACTTAATTTCACCATGTTAAGATAAATTGTGTAAATAAAAAAAGTCACAATGATATTTGATGCATTTGCTCAAATGACATCATATTTAGGTTAATTTCCAACTTTCTAATGGAAAAGACTCGGTCAAAATTATTTAAAATTTTTGAATAATTCATTCATTATTATTTTCAAGTCAGTTTCAACATGTGATATAACATAAAAAAAAGGTTTAAATTTTTCTATAGTGATGACTTTGATATATTTTTGATGTCCAAAATGATATGATTTTATGTTGCAATAGATTGTCAATTACGTAATACTTCAATGAAACACTGAATTTTATGCTAATTTATATGTTCGGGTACTAAAATTAACTTTAAATTGCAAACAAATAAAGCACTATATCGATTATTAAAAAAAAATTTAAATAAAAATTTAAACAGATTTCGTGTTACAGCATATTTCAGTTATTGAATTTCGTACTTCCCATTCTGAAAATAATAAATAGAGTTATCGAATAATGCATCAGGAATTAGATTTCCTGTTATTCACGCATTGGTATAAAAAAAAAATGTGTTCGATAAAAGTCTATTAATTAGCTTTGTTGCGGTGATGCCATTGGTCCTATTTGACGTCATATGTGATTAATTTTTTTTTTTAATACAATTACAGTTCAAATAACTTCACTCTCCATCATTTTTTTTTTAGAATACCGCAATCGTTTATCACTCACAAAGATGATTTATTCTGGTTTTTTGTTAGAAATATTAATAAACGGAAAGCCATTAAAAGAATGTAGTGAACCTATAAATAAAAGATTTGTACGTTACAAGCAGTTCTCGTAACCATTACTTTTTTTTTTTTTTTTTAATAGAAAGTTTCTTGCGGTTTTTTTTTTTTTCGAAAAGAATACACCAACCAAGGATTGATCAAAAAATTCTTATCACTAAAATCAATATTTAACTTGAAATAATAATTAACAGATCACTACGGAACCTTCTTATGTACTTGACCAAAAAACTGGGCAAAAGATCGAAAGGTTCGTATGTTATTAAAAAAAAAAAGAAGCCATTCACATGACTTAGAATCCTTCTAATCAATTCTTAATGTAGTGATAAAACATACTACGCTGCGGTTGAAGAACCATGCACAAATTATATTGTACAATTCGGTGCTCCGCATGATATCTTTTCATCATCTTGCAAGATTCTTAAGGCAAAGCTATTTGTTGATGGGCAATGGGATCACACTTGCATGCAACTTCAAAAATCGAGAGTCATAGCGAGTAAAGATGGATTTTTCGATGAACAACGATATAAAAATTTGTTTAAATTTGATGTCACAAATTGGATAGATGACGATTCTAGGGGAGATGCCCAATTTGCAAAATCAAAATTTGGAGGAATTGGAGCCATCTCCGTTTACTTTTATAAAGCTAAAGGTTTGGAGAAAGTTGAAAGAATAATTAATAATAACAAAGATAGAATACAAAAAGTACAAGTTCTTGAATCAACTGGAATTGGAATGGGGATAAAACTTTCTACTGGCTTTGAAAAAAGTCAAAACGTCAAAGTGGCCTCGAACAAAATGTTAAGTAGTTTATCAACAATACCGGTGGCCGCTTTACACATTCATTATCGACCAGAAAGTTGGCTACGTGCGAGAAGTATTCTTTTTGATGACATCCGGATAAAGAGCGAAATAGGTATTGGGGATGAATTCAAAAATATCAAGAATGAGAGTGTGATTAAGCAGGAGTATGAGGAAATTAAGTCTAAAGACAATAATGAGGGGTGCAAGATTTTAGTTAAAAGAGAATTCGCAAGAATTGAAGAAAGAAAACAGGAATATGATGGAATAAAGTCAGACATAATAAAGAAACGATTCAAAGAAGATGCGAAGCCTGAAAAAGATTATTTGAGAAATGAATTAAAGCAGTACAAAACATTATCGGTAGCGAAACATGATATAGATGTAATATTGCTGAAACAAAGAAGATTAGAACGTGAAAATGGCGTTAAAAATCACACCTTGTTAAAATTAAAGAGATAATATATATTTTTATTCATTTAAATTAATTGTTCTTAATATTTAATTGTCAGATTAATATATAAGTCACTTATTATTATATATATAATTTATATTATTTTACCAAAATAATACTCGCATAATTTTATAGAAATGATAATAAATATTTTTTTTAGGCTCTTTGAAAACTCAATATTTAATCAAAATTTTGAATAAACCAAAGAACATCACGTAACTTTATTTTATCATCAAACATACGACCTAAAGACGAATATTTTTTTTTTTAAATTTTGATTAGTACATACTGTACATAATAAAATAAATAGAGAAAATAATACCGTATTCAATAAAATAATAAAACCTTTAAATTAGGAGGAGGTAACATTTGCTAGCAATTAATTAAGTTTTTTAATAATTGAACATGAAGAGGTATCTAAGCTAATAAATTTTTATTGCTGCATTTATTTAATACTCACTAACGCCAATATTATTATTATTATCAATTAATGCATTTACAAACGTAAGTCTTAAAGATAAATTAAAAAAAAAAAAATTTAGTAACTTTTTTTAGAATATCAGACAATTTATTTAATAAAAAACGATAAAAAAAAAAAATTTGATCTGTTGTACCATTAAATTTTTCATTATTTATTTATTTACTTATTTATAATTTAATAAAGAAAAAAGAAATGGCATTGATTAATTTTTATATTTTTATTTTATTGATTAACCTTTATTTATTAATACAACTTATTTATTTCTTATATTTATTCCGTATAAAAATATTTTTCTTTAATTGATTCAATTATTTACATAGAGTTATTTTTTTAATTTGTTACAAAATTTTTAATTATACTACTTTTATAACTAGTACTGGATGAAATCACGTGAAGTTAAATGATCTGTAAATATTGCATTACGCACTTGCGTTTCTTTTGGTCGCTACTGTATATAAAAAAAATATCAACATTTTGGTAAAAATTTTTCTTAGAGAACCTTGTAGTGACTTGTAATGACTTGTAGCAGCAACCTATAAAAGTGATAAACAGTGTTGGCAAGAGTTAGTCATAGTATGAGCATATACAAAAGTATAAAAATTGGTATCTAAATTTTACGACAATATAAGTCCTTAACCCTTAAAGCATGCATAGGGCAAGATACCTCCTATGACTAACTACTCGATACGAATATTGACTATGAGTAGTATCATTAAAACCGTCTAAAGACAGCGCATTCTCACCTTAAAAAAATAAATTCTTCAAGAATAATAACTGCAAGGTATGTTGCTTTTGAATCTAGTCTTAGACCACTCTTTGACTGCTGCTTGAGAAAGTTTCTTTAACTTTTCATACGCAAGTGATCCAACTTCCCCGCTGAAATTTGTAATAAAAAAAAATCCCAAAAATTATTAGTGTATAGGTAGTGTATAGGAACAATAAAAAAGTATCAGACATACTCAAAAAAAGATATACCATCGACCTCCTTCCTGTATCAACTTTTTAAAGCCCAAAGTGACTGCAAATAAGAATAATATCTCCATGTTGAACTCCAGCCGCTACTTAGCTAATAAAAAAAAAAGGAAATAAAATATGTAATAAAAATAAAAAATA